CTTGTAACCTTTTCTTTCGAAATTTGTTCATATTTTAAGTTAACATCTAACTTAAAGTTTTCTTTTTTTTATAAAGAAAAAGAGAAGAAAACCTTAAACCGAAAATAAACTAAAATTAAGTTAACTTGTAGAAGCTAGCTAAACCGTTGCGGAAGTTGCGACATCTCTTAAACGACGCTCACAGGGGGATCTACCGCCTAGAGCACGCACACTAGGCGGCCCAGTAATCGTATAACTCCCGAACATTTATGTTTCGCTCAAAGGTATCTCATTCAACAGCCTGTCTAGAACAAACGACAAATCAAAATATTTAATTACGATAAACTACATAATGCCCTCGATTCAATTTTACGTGCCGTTTGATAATTCCCTAATGCTTTGTCGCATTCATCTTTCTTATTGTAAACTGAACCAATATTACAATAAATACTTGCTATTGAAGCATGAATTCCTCGTACTGACTTCAACGGAAGTTTCAGTACCTATCCATAATTCACTAATTATCGTTCATCTTCCTTATTATAAACTAATACAATATTATTATCAGTAGCTGCTAATGCTGATCATTTGGTGAGATTAACTTCAATTCAATTGCAAGTGCCTTTCCATAATTTCGTAATGCTTTATCGTATTTACCTTTCTTACTATAAACTACTATAATTCTCCAGCGCATTATCGTGTTCACCTTTCTTATTGTAGACTAATCCAGTACTATTATAAGTTATTGCTAATGATGGATCATTCAGTGATAAGGACTTCAGTTCAATTACGAATCTTCAAAAAAAATCATATGTAGTTTCCTTGGGGACAGCTCACAGTTCTCATTTCTGATTGCGAGGTATTGGAGCTAAATGGTAAGTATTTTCGAGCTTGTTCTTGTAGTTTTCGGACAAGCTTCAGTGGCGCTATTCTTTGGCTACAAATTTTGTCGGATTTCATTTTGTTTTGGGTTCGCTGTGATCGTTTCAAAAAGTATAGTTCTGATCCAAAACAATGGGCCTCACAACCAAAAGTATTTTACACGATGAAGGTAAAAGCTGAATTTCAGGGAAATAAATACATAACTTTGGTTGCTCTATCTAGCCACTGGGGACAGGGCGCTTCAGGTTCCCTCGTAGTCTTGGAATATTCGGTTAGAAAAACCCTAAAATCCAGAATTTATTGTCGAGGGGCCGAGTTCTGAATAACTTTTCCAGAGAGCGAGTATGGGCTTTTACGTAAATCAAACCTTCCAGGCTTCCATTCGTGTATAAAGTGGACGCACCTGTCCGGAATTACCTCATAGTTACGCACCATATTACAGAAGAGAAATGGTTCATTTTTAAGCATCCCCTATCTAGTGACCATACTTTAACTTTTTTCGAATTTTTCGATCGAGATTATTTTTTCTATTCGTCGAATGTCCCTATGGACTCTTGCTCTCTTTCTTTGAGACATTATTTTGTGATGTGTGTTCGATATAATAAATTTGAAAAATAAATATAGTTTATATCGCAGTAAACAACCGCTCTTTAGTTCTCTTTCTATCTTAATCTAATATTCATTTTGAGTGGTTTCTATTTAGAAATCATCTACTTCTATAAAAATAAACGGCTCTTCGTATTGTAAAGAGAAAAGCTAGGCTTCTTGTCGGAAATATTACTAAAAAACGAATGAGACAGGCATGTTTTTAAGTCCCATCTTTCTAGAAATGTACAAGAAACACCCGTTTCCGACTGATACTCTGAATTTAACAGCTACTGGAAATCCTTTAAAACGTAAACCAGTGATACCAATTGTAATGTCTGTCACCAGTGATGAATCTTCAATTCAAAATCAACAAACTGATACACAACAGAAAGATGACAGTGAAGATCATTGACAAATAATTGACCGGAGAAAGACAAAAAATAAAGAGAAACATTTGGCAATGAGAACGATTTCAGTTTAGATTTTTTTAACAATACTTTTTACGATGTTTTCAAAATTTAGAGCCCTTTTTGAAAATGTTCTTCAAGTACCTTTCTTCTTTCTTTCGTAAAGGCCTTCTTTTCGTCCATTGTCATAGTCAAAAAAGAAGTCTATTATCAGCCATATATACTACTCGGTCATCTATGATATCAAGATTTTTCTCTTATGTATTTTGTTAGGTTTGCTAATAAACAACAACATTTATTTCTCGCTCAAAGAACGAATCATAGCCTCTCGTGACCTAAAAGCCACAGTTGAGCTTCGCTCATTTCCCAAGCTACATGCAGCATAATTGCTCGTAAAATTACTTTCTATCACAGTAAGTTGTAATAGTATAGCTTATATTTGATTAAAACAGATTCATGAGAATTTCTAGCATGAAATAGAAGTATAGTCAACAGCAACAGCAAGAATAATAACGAATAAAATAGAACATGTGATATTGTTGTAAATAAGTCTTCAATGACTCTGTTCATATCACTTTTCGATGCAAAATGTTACCAAACCGGTTCAATTTATTTGTGGGAATGCTACGAAAGAGATTTCATATAATTTAGCTTTTATAGAAATTTAGTATGATTATGATTGGAAACCGTTTCAACAATTAGCGGTAAAATAACTGATTATTGTGCTGCTCTAGGAGCACAACGTAAACCATAGACAGCATTCAAATGTCATATAAATGCAACGTTGACTATTTTTGTTCATTTTACGTTGTATTGCATGTTCAATATTTCTGCAATAAACATATGCTGTGCAAGAAGATATTCTTGTTCTTGAAGCCATGCAATAACTGTAGAAGAAAATCATTATACTAATAGTCAGACTGGCGAGTAGGTCAACTAATAATATCCATGTTGCTTTTTGAATGTTTTTATAAATTTCTTTTTGAAAAGAGGATCAGAATTGTAGGAAATTAGTAAAATTTAATTTTCTCAGCAATTACAGGTCTGTTCACAGAAAAAACTTCAGGGTAAGCACAGCTTGATGAAAACAACACAAAGCTATGAAAAAAACAGGAGGCGGTCGCCACACGTTAAATTGTCATGTTTTATTGCCGCTACATTCCCACGATTTCGACATTCAGAACATTTGCATCTGATGCAATTTCAGAATAACTTTTCTATCTCTCGATTTTGGACAACACAAATGAATGCTTTCTGAAATCTTACACGGCCTAAACACGAGTGACGAAATTACTGTTTTTCAACTTTTGGGCTCTGTTTCTCCTCAAATATTCATGTTGCTCATGACTTTTAAAGGAGGCTTACATCATCATTCGAAAGAAAAGGGCACATAATACATACCCAGACAAGCGGTGCATATTCACTAATGATGAAAGCTATTTGGTTCTGTAGACGCTTACTTCACAGTTTTTTTATAAATGCCGAGAAAGTTTTTTTATATTTACGAGAAGCTGAACTGGTGTACGCCTAAAACGCGTAACTGTTACCCTCAGCTACGGTGGATTGAGCGATATTCTTTGTCTCAACCAGTCTTCAAAGTCCATTACTACATGTACTCTTTTGCGCTGATTACTAATATCAACTTTAAAAAGAACGAAACTCAAAGTTTAAAATCGAAAATTCAAATTTAAAACTTAGAAGGTTTTTTATTTCAATTTTCTTGCCTACTTAGCTTCTTAAAATTTTTTTGAAAGTAAATCAGTGGATAAAGAATTAATTTATCTACAAAATGCACTATTGACTTTGTCAAAACAATCTTTAAAAACGCATTTTACACTCTAAACAAATTTTAGCTGTTTTTTGCTGAAATCGAAATGGTACTTTTTTTGGAGCAATTTTACGAAATCAAAAACATTTTTCCTACCGTTTTTTTTGCTTAGTTTGATAGAGGGCACTCGATTGCTTAAGGCTCCGGGCAAATTAAATCTTTTCACCGGTACAAATATAACGATAAAACCCAACGCAAAAGAAAGATTTAAACATTTTTAAGTAAAAATAAAGAACGTGAATCACATCGATTCACTCAGTCCATTGACTGTAAGTCGAATGAATATCGTGTCGAGAATATTCTTCATTTTATTGTAACTGGATCTTGTTACTACAGAATTGAGCAGAGATGTAGTTTTCCCATTCCGACGCAGGGTCAGGATCCTGGAATCCTCGACCGCCGGAATAAATTTATGGAAATTCTACGGAATAGGTAATCAACTACGAGGAATCCGAAGATGAGTATGAGACAACCCTAGGACGATTCTGTTGGTCAAAGATATTCTTTCAAGTTGATTGGATGAAAATGATGCGGAATGGGTATTCGACTATAAGGGATCCGAAAATGAGCATGACAGAACTGTAGGAGGCATTCTATTGGTCAGAAATGTTCTTTCGAGTTGAATGGAAAAGAATGATGGGGTATAGGTAATCGATTATGGCACCACTGCATAGTTTTGAACTGGAGGATGCCAGGATCCCACAAAGATACTATTCAAGAATTGAACAGTGAGCTCATGAACAAGCAAATGCGATTTTAAGAGTTAAATTTGATAAAGCTCAGGCTGTTGGCTTCTTTTATATATTCACGTTACATGATAGAAAAAAATCGAAATGAGAACCTTTAACGAAAATGCAATTTACTCTAGAAAAATTTGAAAGCGTCATAACGTTGTTTAGTCAGTTTGTCTAGTTCATCGAGTCTTTGTAATTCTTTTGTTTGTTCTTGATTTGGCTTTATCTGCAATATAGACTTTCGAAATGGACGTAATATTACCAAATCTTCCAGTCCTTTTACTCTTGATAACGGAACGTAAGAAAGCAACACTTGGTCTTATTCGTGGTGCCAGTACTAAATCAATCACAATTTTTGGGATTGTTTGTCCCTGACTTTTGTGAGTTGTGAGAGAGTAAGCAGGAACGAATGGAAGCTGTTGCCTAGTTACTTTGATTTTTGTTTTATTGCCAGCCGTCTTTACTTGTGAGGGCGATAATAAGTCTTTCACATCGACTTCAAATGCTTTTTTAATGGTTGCTATAGGAACCAATTTCTCTGATAATGGTTCAAGATCTGATTTTATTTTCGATTTTTGGATTTCAATTAGAGCATATGGATATTTCAGAGTGATATTTCAGAGTGACGGTATTTGAAGGAGGAAATAGCTCCGCTTGTGCTGGATCTACGGATGATGATGGTTGCCTTTCGTTGATTGTTTTGTCTTCGCCATCTCTAGGTTCTGTGTAAACAAGTGAATGAAATGTTCCGGATGATCCATTTGATAAACCGAGCTCTGTTGCTATGTTATCAGTCAATAACACCGGCATTCCTATACGAAACTAATTCAAATATTATTTTTTGGTTCTTAGTAAAGATTCGTACCTTTGACTAACGGTAAAATACTAGGAAGATCACCGGGTTTGTTGTCGGGTAACGCTTGTACGAATTTGTGCAAGATAGGGCTGTCGATTAAATTGGATTTAATTGTATCAACACTTGGACATATAACTACGGCTTCGTTGATTTCTAATGATCGGGAGGTGGCAGCAAGGTTATTTAGCTGCGTTCGTAACTCGTTGCCGAAAACTAACATTGGTGCTTGTTTCCAGTCGATCGTATTTAATGATTCAACTTCACCTCCACCAACAACACGAGTTAGTAGTAATTCATAATCTGCATCTGTGCCTCGGCCTCGACGTAGCCGTCCGAGCAGAGCGTTGAATTTTTCATCTTCGGTTCGCATTTGCTGAATTAATTGTACACACGTAATGATTTGGAGCCATAACGATCGGCCAACTTTGCACTGTATTTCTTTCTCAGAAACACCCTTCTTCAAATTCTTAGGCTGGTTACAGGTTGTATCGTCAGTACCGTCGAAAATACTTGTGTACATCAATAGTTACTTTATTTCTTAACATTCTGTTTTTGGTGATGAGCGTAGCGACATACTGATTTTAGTAATTAAAATTGGCAACAACTAAGACGTTAATTTCAAATACAACTGAGATTACTAAAAACACTATCGTGCCATCTTAATTAGCAATTAACTATTGATGGTACCAGCATAACACGAATTAACCTCCGCATATCAAACTTTCGCGATTCTTTTGATCGATCCATCACAAGTATCAAAGTGAATCCCTAAACATGAAATGGCATATTCGCATTTATGCTAATTATCATGAGAGCATACATGCTACTGGATATAACCAAATTCTCACATTTAGTGACATGTGTAGTATTGATCAGATTCTTTTATTTCGTGTCGAACTGCTAACTAACTTAGCAGCATAGTGACTTAAGTGATTAACATTGCAGTATAGTGATTCTGATAATTAGCATGCCAGCATAGTGATTTCAGTAATTACTGGTGTACTGGAAATAAAAGTATAAGGTTAAGACTAATTAATCTGGGCCCATGAATACTATCTATATGAATCTGTAACTCATTAGCATAGTGATTTTAGTAGTCAATGTGGAAGCATAGTGACCGTAATATTGATGGTCTCAGGTTAATTAGTCTTAACCTCACACTTTTGTTCTCAGTAGAACAGTAATTAATACCTGACCGTCATGCTGATTAGTATTAATATTCTTAAGCTTTCTCGAGGTGTTGAATTTGAAAAGTTTTGAATATACAGTTTATGCTATTGTTATCATACATACCCTCGATGACGGTCGGCCATCTGTGTAACGCTATAACACCTGCACAATAACATAAACTGTATCTTCGAAAAAAAAATGAAAGAGACTGACGGTTACATAAACGAGTATAAATACGGCTATTTGCTAACTACTTTTCATTTTCGTTTACATTTCACTGGCGAACTGTTCAAGTTATTTGCTTTTATTTGAATTTTTTCTTCATGGCTGCTACGGTAGAATTTATGGTGGACGACTTCGGTAAGTTTGGCTTTTAGTTGGGGTTGAAAACTAGTAGTATGCCAGCACAGTGGATTTCATAATTTTGCATTTCATAATTATAACTTGAAAAGGTCTATTTATATTTATATTGGTTAACCTTAGAGCAGATATACCACTGGTATTCCCACATTCATTTTAAGAACACTATTAATCAGATTCTTTGTTTTGGAGAGGATTGCCGAAGTTGCTAGGTTAACAATAAAGCATGATAATTTTTTTAATTATTGTTGTATTAGAACTAAAAGTATGAGGTTGCTGCTAATTACTAACACTAATGACCACTTCCTTTCTTATTTCTAATATGAGAGTTATACTAAAATCACCTTGAAACCATGCTAATTGGCAATCCTCTGCTAAATGGAAGAATCTGCTTAATACTGTTCCTGCAATTAATGTGAGAACCTATTTTTCCTAGCATTACACATACTCTCGAGTTAGTAGCATATATAGTCTCAAAAAATGATTTTTCTCAGCAATCAAGAGGAATTTCGATAATCTGTCGCTACATTTTTCGCTAGGATTTCGGGCGAGAAATGAAAAATTAGAAAAAAAAATCACTTGGCCCATTATAGTTGAAATTTTCATTTTCAAAGAAAAAATAATATTTCAGAAACGGAAAAAACAATTAAAAACCAAATCTATACCTTTGTTCTCTGTTTCAAGGCGGTTCGAACGGCGTAAAAATAATCTTTCCATCGTTCGATATGAGGTCGCCGATAGGGTTGCAATCGGAGTGTGATCATCAAAATCAAAGCCTTCTAAAGTTTGACCAAAGTTCGAACACTTCCCCTAGCTCAGGAACCTCGAAATGTACTTCTATACGTATATGACGCTCTTTTGACGAAGGATGTGCGTTAGGTCTTGGGCTTCAATATTATAGGGGTTTTGGGTGATATTTTGGTGGGATTTATTGGTTCTGATGACATCGAAGAATTTGAGAGCTTTTGGCTCCACAATATGTCAACACTATTTGGTGTGTTTCACAGAAGTGTAACATTTTTCTAGTGCATTGTATTTAACCAGTTCTCTGTTTAGACGGTGGTAATGATGATGAGGTGATATTTATGGAAGAGCGTTTTGGTGAGAAGAGTGGATGGAACGGAGATGGTAAGCTAATTTCTCTTTTAAGTATTCAATATCACGTTTTCTGTATTATTTTTCTGTTACAGCTGTTGTCAGCTAATTTCTCTCTTAAATAAAGCGCCGCTAATTGTAAAGCTCAGCACATTTCTACTTTTGGTTTTCTTATACATCATTCGATAGAGAATTTCACGCTGATCGAGAATATCATCTTTTAGCCGCCCCGTTTTCATTGATAGACATTGGATAAAATTTGTTTCAGTCCTGAGAAAGTTTATTTTTTCTGAATCAGGAGCGAAAAAATCCGAATTCTGCCGGTAATTCTCTAGTGTTTCCATCAGAACTCACGTTTTATGCAATAAAAATATTATATTCGGTGTTAGCGTCGAAAACTGAGCAAAGAGGGTGATATTCCTCATCAGCTTGAGAAATTGTCCATCGAATGATGTATAAGAAAACCAAAGATAAAAATGAGCTCAACTTTTGAATTAGCGGCGCTTTATGGAAGATCGGATTTCCTGTACCATTTTTCTCTTTAGATGGTGGTAGCATGTGTTAACGTTGATGGAGGGATAACGGACGTATAAACGTATTTTATCGTGTTTTTTTTTGTTTTACTTTTATTTTTTATTTGTTATACTTTTTTTATACTTGTTGCGCTGGTTGTTTTAAATAAATGAGTACTATAAAGAGTTGCTAAAGTTGCGACAGGTCGAACAGTTCCTAGTGCTAACATAGTTCCTTATATGCCTATACTCTTTAAACTAGGGGTTTCTCCCGCTCCTACTATTCTTATAGTAAGCAGGAATCCTATAGTTTCAATACAAGAATTTCGAAATAAATGCAATTTACATAAAGGAGGGAGGCGGATAAGCCCATTTTCCATTCCTTAATATTTTTGAAAAAGAATTACATATTCGGAATGTTTTGGTAATTTTCACGCACTGTGCAGCCATTCGTAAATCAACTGTAGCTGGGTGAAAAAGCATTATAGACAGTCGGCAGATATCTTGTTTTCCTCAGAATTCTTTGCTCTATCAGGCTATATGGTTCGCAAAATTTTCTAGTCAAAAACCAAGGACTTGGTTTTCCAGCGGACAGGTTTTCCGCAAACGGTATTATCAAATTTTCTCATGAAACGACGATATGCACCTCATCTGATAGAAGAATCTTCGGGCTATTCAAAACAGTATTCCGATTAGTTCCAGCTTTTACTGAAAAATAAAA